CTTCAAATTGCTTAAACTCTTCCACGCTGATATTATTTCCCATGTTTACCTGATATGATTGTCGTGTTTACTGAACTCAGTATTTCCTCCCGGAGCTTCTAGTCCAGGAGATGTTGCTTTCATCCTCACCAAAAGGGGAGATGGATTTGAGATAGGTGATGCAGGTATAATGCATACTTGGTGTGGCCTCTATCGCAGCCTCTGCCCTAGTTCCAGAAAATGCCAGATTACTGTCACAAAGTCAGCTCAGCCACCCTCCACAGATGTTAATCATCAGGAAGACCAGGCTACAACTAGCAAGGCTCAGAATAAGAGCCAGAGCCTGTTCCCGAGCCTTGTGAATACACTGCCCCTTCTGAGAATTGACTGGGGCGGGTCTTCCATTCTATGAGGTGCAGTGAAACAGCTATGTTAGTTGTTAAAATACAGAAATTCTTTTTTCCTCTAGGAATAAATAGTTCTTCCCTTGGCACCTTGATTACCCCCCACCCCCATAGGCACTCTGGCCCCTTAGACTCTCTCCAAGACCTCCCTATGTCCAGCAACTGCAGGGTTAATGCCTGGCATGGCAGAGCGAACCCAGGGTCACCTTTTCTAGTTGCTCTGGTGCCTGCTTCTCAGCTGCTAAATGAGTAGCACTCATTTTCAGGGGATGACTGAGCTGCTCCCTGAGCTCCTTCTCGGTCCTGGTGGTTTCTCCTGCTTTCCCAGCCTGCTGATGTTTTGTTTTGGCCTTGCCAGCTCCAAGTCTGGAACCTGGTCCCACCTTTCCTCACTGTGTTCATGCCTCTGCAGTGCTCTGTGCAGCCTGACCTTAGTCCCTCTGTATGCAGCAGGTCTGCCACTGGTTGAAGGATCCTCCCTTGATCCAAGCTCCTCTCAAACCTCATGTTAATGGGTAGAATTTGGCCTTTAATTATGGGCCCTTACCCTTGGGGCAAGTTTGCCAGGCATCCTGTAGTGACAAGACATGTCTATTTTCTGACTTGGGTCCTATGTTGACTTTGTCAGGGCATCCTGATTTGAAGTCTTTTTAGGAAAACTACAAGAATATGACAGAGCTATTTTTTCAAATTAGCTGGAAATCCTGATTTTTTCCCCTTAAAATTTGACAACCCTACTTTTCTAGCTTGAGGATCACAATTTTATCCTCATTTTCTTGTATTCCTATGAATTCCTGCTATTCTCTTTTTTCTCTCGGAGCTAAGGTTTCACCGTCTGTCTATAATGCTTTGTGGCCTAGTCGTGTCCAACTCTTTGCAACCTCATGGACTGTAGCCTGCCAGGCTCCTCTGTCCATGGAATTTTCCAGGCAAGAATACTGGAGCAAGTTGCCATTTTTTACTCCAGGGGATCTTCCTGACCCAGGGATCAAACCTACATCTCCTGCATTACAGGCCACTTGGGAAGTCCCATAGAAGCCAACTGGTTTACACCAACTCCCTGCTAACTAGGACATAACCAATATTTATTGAATGAATGAATGAAAAGATGAATGGATAAAAGAGTTTGCTCCGTAGAATTCTCTTTCTCTTTAGGACCCCTTTCAGAATATGATAGGGCCTTGAGTCAGAAAAATAAGTAAATATGACAGAAACTAAACCCTGCTCTGGGGAGCCAGGCAAGCTTATACTGCTGCTATTCTCTGTATTTAATTACCTTTCCTTTTTCCCTTGGCAATTAGTAAAGTGCCAGTCTGTCTCAGATGTGTTAAGGAGAACCAAGAGAAGATGTTTTTGTCCACACTTGAGCCAAAGTGTTAAAGGAACAGTAGCACACTTGGGGTGGGGGCTGGGGAAAGTGGAGATGGAAAGTAATTAATATTTATTGAGCAACCATCATGTACTCTTTTAGTCATGGTCTCATTTTGTCCTCACAGTAACCCTGCAAAGTATATTCTAGACAATGAATCATGTTTAGCCAGGCCAGATAAGTTACTCAAATCCTAGAGTTATTAAATAGCACAGCTTGAATTTAAACCTAGGTCTTTTCACACAATACCATCCTGCCTTCTACTGCTAGAAGCATCATGGTGGTGGCAGTGGCAGTGATCAAAGACAGAGAATGCTAGAAGAAGGTAACAGTCTAAGACAGAGCCAAGCCCACTCATTCCCTGTCTCGTTCTCTCCCTTCTGCCTTCCATTCATTCTAGAACATTCCTGGCATAGTTCTATCTTCTCAGGATGCTGATGAACTGATGAATAGGATAAACACAGTCCCTGACCTCATATGGGTCATATTTCAGGGCAGGTTATAGAGACTGAAAAAGTGATTTCAAGCATGATTAATTATTGAAGTTATGTTGGAAGCATATAAGGAGATGGTGGAAGAGTGGCAGTTGTTGGCGGGGTGGGGATCAGCAAAGGCTTCATGAAGATAGTAATATGTGGGTTGAAATGTGAGGGATAAGAATAATTTAGCTTTGCTGAGAGTTGGGAGAACAGTTGTTTCAGGCAGAAGAAACTGCTCTAGGACAAAGAACGTGTGATAAAGATTGGCTTATCCTTCTGAAGAGAAAGCTGTAGGATCCCAGTTTTATTTCATATAGGGAAGCAGCCTGTTACCACAGGGAGAGGTCATGAGTCCTGAGTGCTCAGGAAAGGATCTCATGTGGAGCAATATTTGAGTAGAAATGAGGCAGTCATGCAGGCTGGTTTGGTTACAAGCAGTTGAAGGAGACAGAGGCAAAAAGCAGAGATAATGACACAAGCAAATGAAGAACCAGGAGAGGACATTTAAGGTTGAATCATTTGATAAAGAATATCTCCAACTGCAGCGGCAGCTCTCCTTTGCTGGTTTTGAAACTGCATTTGGAATGAGGAGACGGCAAAATTGTAAAGAGTCACTCCGCACTGGCAGTGAGTATGCTGGGTGGCAGTTGGGGTTGTGATCAAAGCCAGTCTCCCCAGTTCCCCAGTTATAGTGTTTTCCAAAAGGGTAGGTAGGTAGGCTGATTAAAGCACATGCTCTAAAATAGCCAAATGCTTCCTCCAAATGTTAAAAATCCAAGCAGGTCCTTCATCACAGAACACTTTCTGTATTAAATATTAATCAAAATAATTTCATTTTGCAGATTCAATACTTAAAATATCAATTTAGATGATGGATCATGGACTTTAAACCTGGAAGAAATGTTAAACCCATCTCTCCCTCTACCCCATGCATTTACAGATGAGTGAGCTGGGATCCAGAGAGGATAAGGGAATGCTCAGAATCCTTAAGCTAGATTATGGGAGTTAAACCAGAATATTGCATTTTTCCTAATGAAAGAAAGAAAATCAGGTTGATACCAAGCTTCAGCTTTAACTGAGCTTTCCATTGATGATATATCAAATTTCTCTGATACTTCATTGCTTGGCAAATATTTATTTTTCTGGCTTTTACTTCTGATGAGATCTCCATACTAAAGTGGTTGTCGCTATTAGAAATTTGGATGGAATGGCATTAAATGTGGAGAGGGGAGTGTTTATCAGTATGGCAAATGAAGTTGGCTGTGGATATAGCAAATATTTCAGAATCACTGTGCTCTCCTTTGTGTCATAACAAAATGCCCCTTAAGCTTCAAATTCATAAAGTAGTAGCCTGCTTCCTTTCTTTTTCATTCAGCCCGTACTAAGTACCTGCTTTGACCTCAGTTCTATACTGGGTATGTTGCTAAGTGCTATGGTGGGGGTAGTGTTTAGAGACACACTCCGAAAGTGTTAGTCACTCAGTCATGTCTGACTCTTTGTGGCCCCATGGACTGCAGCCTGTCAGGCTCTTCTGTCCATGGAATTCTCCAGGCAAAAATACTAGAGTGGGTAGCCATTCCCTTTTCGAAGGGATCTTCCTGACCCAGGAATTGAACCCAGGTCTGCTGCATTGCAGGCAGATTCTTACCATCTGAGCCACCAGGGAAGTCCTAGAAATACACTCTAGTTTTAGGATATTTACCATTTGGATGGTTTTGGTAATGACTAGGCAAAAATAAATTAGGGGATAAAAGGAACAAGGAAACTTGACGGTAGAGCTGGAATCAATGTTTCTGCAACACAGCCTTGAAGGTAGAGAAAAGTGAAATAATTAACACCTGGTACCTACAGGTATTTTTCTCTCTTTGTCAGGGAAGAGAGAGCTAAAGAGTGGACGGATGAAGCCAGGTCAGAGGCTTCTGTTGGGCTCTGACTTGAAGTTAGGAGGAGACTGGAGGGGATATTCAAACTTTTTCTATCTTCAGTATTTGAGTTACACCATGTTTTTTTCACTAAGGAAAGACTAAGTGGAATAGGGAAGACTAAGTGATAGGGCTGTATCAGCCACACACAGACATTATAGGGAACCAATGCCCAGGAACCCATTAGCTGAGTAGATCCTTCTCCCTCTGTCAGGGCCCACTGGCCAATACCGCCAATCAATCACAGCTTTCCTTTCCCTTCTGAGGCTCAGAATCCTTCTCAACACCATGTTTCAGACAGACAAACAAATGTATATTGTTTTGTCTTTTTTCACTAGAATGAGTATTCCACAAAGCAGGAAAATTGCTCTATTCATTGCTTTTTGTTTTTTATTCCTGCCTTTAAACAGGGCCTGGAACATGGTAGAACTCTACTGCTGAACTGATGAAAGAGTGTGGAATGGATGGCGTTCAGCTGCTTGGTTGAACCTGTAGCCAGAGGTTGCAAACTCAAGGCTCAGTTTTCCTAACCCTGGAGAGTCATGATCATATCCCAGGGTAGTGGGATATTCGTTTTTTCAACTCTTCACCCTCTTGCCTGAATGTGCACATACTCCTGTGTTCTAAGAAACACTGAGATTGCCTTTCTCTTAAGCTCTAATGGAGCAATCTGTGTTTCTACCTGAGCCTTTTTAATATATGGCTTCTTTGGCAAGTCTACTATAGTTACAAATGAACCTCTTTTTAGCTCTTTCATGAATTTTTTTCAAATCAGATTAAGAAGCATTTCCTCAGAGTCCTATGGAAGCCAGCGTAGCCTTGTCAGCTTCTTTGCATCATTCCTCACCATTCGACTTCATGCCTCTTATACCAGAGAAGAAAGGAATACCCTGATTTTTCATACCATCGTGTATTTCAATATTGTGCCTGTCCTGGATACTTTTGGCAACTTCTGGCCACAACAGTTGCCACTGTTAATGCTTTTTCCCTTGGTGAGGACATATAAAGGCAGCAATGAGTCAGGTTCAAAGACAGAACAAGTGCAAAGAGTACTGAATTCAAGCTTTCCCTGGATCCCTCCAGGCTGCCCTTGGAGCTTCCTGGTTCCAGTACATCAGAGCTGGACATTCTTCCAGGTGTCAGGCCAGATAGACGGTACCTTCAGCTAAGGAGCTGGAGAACTTCCTTCAGCCTGGCCTGGTTCACATACAGAGCTGGGCTGTTTCTGGTTAGCTGTAGAAAGCCCATGTGTCTTAGGGAGAGACTGAAGCATTTTGAGAGCATCCTTTATGCATTCTTTAGTTCCTGCTCTAAAGCAGCAGAGGCAAACTCATTTATGCATGTGGAAAAATACAGCATTTCTGCTCTCCGCAAGGCTGAAAAGAAGGAAGGTATGAAAGCCTTTTTTAACACATTGCAAGGTTGTAGCTCATGAGGTTTATCCAAAGCTCTGCAATTTCTGACAATAAATTCTAAACTTAGACTGGAGGTGTGTGTTCCCAGGTGTAACTGCTTATGTATTAACCCTATGTGATCTACTTCTGCAGCAATCTGCTTTTTCTAAGTACTCTGGTCAGACATCTCCAGGTTTGAAATTCAGTGACTTTTTCTCAGTTCTCAGTTTCATGGCTTGGGCTGCCTCATTTTTTTCTCTCATTTGAACTTCTCCTTTGAAAAATGATCATGAGCCTTGTCTTAAAGCTGTTGTTTGCTTTTCTTAATCAGTTATTTGCAGGTGGGGAATATGTCTAACTTGTCTTCCTAACCTGTCACAGTAACTTCCATGTACAAATGTTTGAACTGATGGATAGCTTTGCTCTTTACATATGAGTCAAGGAGTTCTAGAATGAATTAGGTTGCCTTGTCTTTCTAATTTACACTGTTCACAAATTTCTGATGGACCTCTTTCTTTTCTAAGCCTGAGCCAGTGCCTTTAATTACTTTCATTATCAACATAGAAAATGCTTATGACCACAAGCTCATCCAAAAGTTTGGAAGAGCAATTCTGAGCCATCAGGAATTACAGAGTCGAATGAGAGTTTGCAGCATCTATATATCAGGAGCCAATAAAATTGCAATCTCACATCAGCTGAGTGACTTTAGGCAGGTCATTTATTTTCCCAGTATTTGAGATGAGCAAGCAAAGCACAGGAGATATTTGTCTGAGAGGTTTGTCCCAAAGGTTAAATGAAGAAATATTTGTGAAAATGTTTCTGCTGTTTAGACATGGATTGAACCCATGTCTGCTGCATTGGAAAGTAGGTTCTTTACGGCTGAACCACCAGGGAAGCCCTGTAACGTGTGCAGTGCTATTTGTAAATTGCTTTGATGATGACCTTGCTAGGGTCCCATGCTAGACTGTCTTAAGCTGGATACATTCAGTAGAGAAAATGCAGAAACATAAACCCATTCAAAAAGTATTTTAACATAAATAAACATGTATACTATTTTTGTTAAATAGGACTTGTCCTTTTTGGGCAGTCATATTGTTAGCTCCAACCAGCAATGTCTGAAGTGTTTTCTGATGGTTTGTGAATGGGTATTACACAAAGAAAGCACTCCTTGTTGTATCAATCTAAAAAGCAATGAGTTAAAGTTCATCAAGATTTTATACTTATAACTTCTTAGACCTTTTGATGGCTAATTTTTTTAGAAGTTTCAAAAAAATTTACATATGTATGTTTGTGTGTGTATATTTTGGTTAGTGTTGTGTGTGTAGTATATCTTGCTATATTTCCTAAATATACATGAATATGGAGTCTCCAGTCCCTCTTTTTTTTCTACAGAGTATTTTGGGCCTAGAATTCCATAGAATACATTTTAGAAAATGCTGTTTCGTGGGGTAGCCAGAACTTTTCTGTGACCTGCATATTTAGCTAGAAGATAGACCTAGAATAACAGTTTGATAATCACAGGTATAACCTGTCAAAGATTCTATATTTTCTTGTGGTAATGACCAAGAATCTTGGTCACAAGCCTCCAATTGATTTGGCAGAGGAAGTCATCACCTTGGCATTCATTACTCTCAAGCAAATATACAAGCTGAAAGGGAGGGCCCAATGGTTAAGCTAGGAAGTGAATTGTTGTTCAGTTGCTCAGTTATGTCTGACTCTTTGGACTGATTAGAAAAAATTCCTAGACTTCTCAGTAACTCCACTGCAACCATAGAGATCAACTGTGCTAATTACCCAGGGTCTTACTTCTCAACTTTTGACCTTCTCCATTAGACTTAAAGATGACTTAAAAGATGAACATACTTTTATAGAATTCTATTTGGGCAATACTTCCTTGTCGTTCACTTTTACTGTAAGAATTTACAAGATCTATGGACCAATAGTAGTCACAAGTGTTGGGTTCTGAAAGGCCATGAGTTAAAACTTGGGTTGGGCTGGCTTTTGCCATACATTTGATAGGATGGCTTCCCTAGTACGACAAGGTGAGAGTAATGAAAAAATTAGAAGGGGGTCCCTATGCCTGCTCATACCATTTCTCTAGGGCAGGGGGAAAGATAAATTCCCAGCCCCCTGGGGCCTGACTGGATGTAATCACAGGCATCCACTCTAAACCACCTTGAACTTTATGGCGCTCATAAAATTAAAGAGGCATCAACATAAAATACATTCAGAGTGCTCCATTAGTGTTGCTTGACTAAGAAAAAACACACTGGTGGGCAAGCCAAGAAGGCCAACAGGATTGTCTCCCATGAACACAATGTGCTATTATCCTTCGGGCAGCCTGCTGAGCTAGCTGTCTTCTAGCCCCTTGCTTCTCATTCTGGAGTAGGTGTTTCCTGACACGTGATACAAAAGGTGTTGGTATTGGACCTTTTAGAGAGCAAAATTGTGGATGCTGGATCATCTTGTTTCCTTCATGGCCATTTCCTGGTGTTGGAACCTAAAATTTCTTGATAAAAACAGCGTTTATTCTGTGTACTGATAATTCCAACAACTAGTCTTGTTGATTAAAGAGTGAAACAGTAAGGATCTCAGCAATAACCATAAAAGCGCCTTAGTAATGTCAACGATAACATACTTTTATCTCTGTCTTTTAACACAGAATATGAAAACTTCAGGTCCTAGAATTAGGCTGGGGTTGAATTTTAAATTTTTCATTTATTAGCTGTGTGATACATGACCTTTCTAAGCACTGTTTTCCTTAAAATGGGAATCATTTTAATAAAAATTATTTAGAATAATTCATATAAACTTAGCAAAATGCCTGGCACGTATTAAATATTAGGATATATTGTAAGGGATTTCCAGGTGGCGCCATGGTAAAGAACTACCTGCCAATGCAAGATCCTAGGGTCTGGAAGATCCCCTGGAGTAGGAAATGGCAACCCACTCCAGTATTCTTGCCTGGGAAATTCCATGAACAGAGGGGCCTGGCAGACTACAGTCCATGGGGTTGCAAAGAGTCAGGCACAGCAGTGACTGGACATGCATAGCACACACAACAGTGTATCATGTTTATATCTCAGTGTGTGCCCACATAGACCTATAAATGTATAAATACATACAACACACACGTTTATGTAGACATTTTGAAATGATTATGACACAAAACTGTAAATAACCTTATGTCTCAATGAAGAATATTTTCTTATTAAAAATAATGATTGATTCTGATTTAAATATTATTTAAAAAATTTGTCTTTTTGTTTTCCTGTATATTATTACAGCTATATATGTTACCAGACTTACAAGGCAATGTTCCATTGTTTGCCTGAAACAATTCTGTGTAAAGAAGTTGAGGGAAAATAGTTTTTAAAAAGTATTTACCAAGATCACTATTTTCTGATCTCTTCTTAAGGATTGAAAAAATCTGAGATTCCAACTAGTCTCATTTCCTTTCAGCTTGAAGAACTTCCTTTAGCATTTCTTATAGTGCTTATCTGTTGGCAGCAAATTCTAATAGTTACTAATATCAATTATTTGAAAGGAAATTAGTCCTGAATATTCATTGGAAGGACTGATGCTGAAGCTGAAGCTCCAGTACTTTGGCCACCTGATGCAAAGAACTGACCCTTTTGAAAAGACCCTAATGCTGGGAAAGATTGAAGGCAGGAGGAGAATGTAATGACAGAGGATGAGATGGTTGGATGGCATCACCAACTCGATGGACGTGGGTTTGAGCAAGCTCCAGGAGTTGGAGACGGACAGGGAGGCCTAGTGTGCTACAATCTATGGGGTCGCAGCGTCAGACACGACTGAGTGACTGAACTGATTGACTGACAGGTCTTGAGTTTTAAAAAATACTTCAAAGGTGTTATGTCATTGTCTTCAGGCCTTAATTTTCTTTTTTAATGAGAACTTGAGTCACTTAAATTGTTGTTCCACTGAATATGGCCAGACATTTTTTCCCTGGGTGTTCTAAGTATTTTCACTTTATCTTTTGTTTTTAGCCTTTGTACTCCTCTAAGCTCCTTCTTGTTAAGTCAGATAGACTGAGGCTTTTTATTCCTCTATAGTATTCACTCTCCAGATCCTTCTTTTTTTTCTTTTCTTTTTTAGAGTTTATATTATTGTCTCCAGGAAGATCAATTTAGTAGGAGCTTCTTGCCTGCATTGGAAGTGAAAATTTTCCCTGTGTATCTTTATTTCCAGTCAGTCATGACATTCTGAGACTCTCCACCTATTGAATCAGTAATAGCCTTGCTTCCAGGTCAGGGCAGAGAGGCCCTAAAATATAGGAACCATTGAGTTACAAATTAGGTTTTTGTTTAGTCCCTGGCAAGTCACTAGTCTTGACTGGAGTTGATAAAAGAATAAAGATTTACAAAGTTCCCAAAGTTTCCATTTACATATCAAAAACTAAGCTGGAAATGTGAGCACAGAGTTTTCCAAAAAGCCATGATGTA